CGCGGAACTTGTTCTCGATGATCCAGGTGTACCACTCCGCGTTCATGACCTCGCCCTGGGGCAGCACGTAGACGCAGAGCATCCCGGCGAAGAGTAAGCCCCGAATGCGCACGCAGCACCCCTGGGCCTTCGCATACGAGTTTCGACCAGCGCAGTCCTGGTAGAGCGCGTCGTGGCCATCTGCTGCTCGCCACGCGTGAGTTCCAAGGGCTGCCCGCCGCTTGTCCAAGTCCTCTTCGGCCGTGCGCGCCAAGTAAAAGGATGCTCCGTCTGTGCACGCCCATCTCGAAAGCATTGCAGGAGTCTGTGACACCGTGAATACCACCCGCGCCAACCTGGCCGCTATGTGCTCCCGCGACAAAAGCGTCTTCCGCCGGCGGCGCAGCCAGCGCAATCCAGCTTCCCGCAGGCGCCCCTGCACTGTGCGGACGCCGGTTTTGCGGGCCGCCTTGACCACCCGGCGGACGTCTGTGGCGGTCACGACGGCGCTGCCGCGCCTTTTGTGCACCAGCTTGGAGATCTCCTTGTCGAGGGCGCGGAGCGTCCCCCGGGGCCGCCCCGAGCTCCCGCTCGGGGCGCCGTCCCACGAAGACCCGCCGTTGGCCTCGGCTTTCTCGATGGTGTCTTTCACGACGTTGACGGACGGGAAGCTGCGTTCCCGCCCCGGTGTTTCGGCACCGCCGCCTTCACAGGCGACCCCTCCAGGAAGTGTTTGAAGAATGCCCGCGGCACCCGCTCGGGCGCTTTCGAGTCGCACTCGAAGTCGTTCAGGAAGACTACCTCCGCGGTGAGCAAGTCCTCCAGCTGGTGGGGCCGCTGTCCGGTCTCTCGTAGCGCTCGAAGAGGCCTCGCAAGCCCTTCAGCAAGAAGCTCTTTCTGCAGTCCAGCGGCCCCACCAAACAGATGTTCCTCTGCTTGGCACGGCCTGCTCTTAGAGCCCCCTGCGCCTCCCGCTGGAAAGTCCCGTCCAGTGAGTTCGCCCGAAGCGCGCGTTTCATCCGGCCAGAGCACCAGCCAGGTCTCGAGCACGAGCGAGTGTTCTTTGAGACGAACTCCTCTAGCAGCTGCTCGCGGGCCAGGGCTGCGCGCCGCAGTTTTTCCTTCGAAGCCGCAGCCTGAGCCACCTTGGCCAGGGTTGCCCGGGCGTCGTTCTCCAGGAGGTGTGGCAGCATCGCCTTGTCGCCCTGCTCGCTCAGCTGAGTGGCCCATCGCCCAGACCCGGTCGTTCGCGCGCAGGTTGTGCTTGGCGCGCATGTCGTAGAAGGCTAAGTTGGTCATCTGGACTTCCCGGGCGACTCCTGCGCCCTGCAGCCGGCGAGGGGCGACCTGGTTCACTGGCGTCGGCGTCCCGGCTTGCGCCGCCGCGCGCAGTTCGCGTCCAGGCCGGACTCCTGCCTGTGTTCGGAAGCGACCGTGCCGTAGATCACCCCCTCCTGTCGCGTCTTGATATTCCTGCCGAGCCAGACGTGGACTCGATGGTGTTCGCGCAGACGTTTGGCGACTGGTGGCCACCTGTGCTGGTGGCCACGCCGAAGCGGCAGGTTCGGGCGCGGGCGGCCGTCCGCGCGCGGCTCCAGGAAGCAGGTCGTCTCTGAGACGTCGTGGCCGCAGCGGGCATGCGCTGCCGCGCACGCCTCCCTGAAGGTCTCTCGCGCGAAGTCCCTCGGCGCCTCGGCCCCCCGCGCCGCGGCGGTCTCCTCGGAGGGGCAGGCCGTGCACGTCCAGTGGACCTGCTGCCCGGCGTGGCCCGACCCGCGCTGGGCGGGGGCGTCCAGGCGGAGGCCCGCCATGGCCTCCGAGGCCCCCGGAATGCCTGGGCCCAAATGGATGCGGCGCGGAGGCGAGCAGGGTCGGGGGCGGAAAAGAGAGGGGTGATGACTAGGGGGGGGATATCATGGCGTGGGCCATGATATTTCCCCAGATTTCATGGCGCCTCTTCTGATTTCATTGCGTCCCTGGCCCCCCCCCCTGGGCCGCGCACATGCCGCCGGCCATGATTTGCCCCCCCCCCCCCCCCCCCCCCCCCCCCCCCCTCTTGGACGCCCCCCTCTTGGCCGCCCCCGGCGCAGGGGGGGGGGCGGAGGGGCAGAGGCGTCGCGTGGCGAGAGCTGGAAGTGCAAGCATAAGATCGCGAGAGCTTGCAATGCAGCGTTTTGAAACGAATTACCCTCGTCAAAATTAATTCAAAAATGGCGAGCGCGCCCCTTCGATGTCGGCGCGCCCCCCAATGTCGATAGACGCCCCTCCAATGTCGGGGCCGGGGCAAGGGTGGTCTGACCAGGAACGACTCGGAAGTTCGATGATGATCGACGTTGGAGGGGCGGCGCATACAAGTGCATCGCAGTCATCGCTACTCTGTCCAGCATCTCCCCACAATCAGTTCAGTCATGTGCGACATTTTTGAGGTTCACTTTGACGAGGGTCGTCGTGGGGGCTCCCTTGTAATATTTCCGTATTATGTAAGGCTTCTTTACCAAGGTTCCGTTAGTAAGAGCTCCTGAGTAATAGTCCCGTAGTAAAGTTCTTTCATTGAGGTTATCCGCGCAAGAATTTGTGAGTAATGCTCTCATGTCAAGGATTCTTTATTTGGGTTCTCTGAATGGGGAGCCTTAAATCATATTCCCGAAGCAAGGCTTCTGTATCGAGGTTTTTCTTTGTATGGGCTCTTGTGTAAGAGTCCCGTGGTAAAGATTATCCATCGAGGTTTTCTTAGTAGGGGCTCTTGATTCATGCGCCCTTAGAACCGATTATGTAATAGGATGCTCTGAGTAAGGACTCTTGGGCAATATTCCCTCAGTGAGGCTTCTTGGTAAGGACTTGTGAGTAAGGGCTCTTGAGTAGGACTCTGAAGCCATATTTCCGTAGTGGGGCTTCTTTATGAAGGTTCTCTCATTCAGGACTCTTGAGTTAGAGTGCCCGTAGTAAGGTTTCTTCATTCAGGTTCTCTTAGTAGGAACTTTTGTTGAGTGAGACTCCCATGGTACAAATTCTGTATTGCGGTTCTCTTGGTAAGGACTCTTGGGTGAAAATCCCGAAGTCAGTTTTCATCGCTAAGTTTCTCTTGGCAATGAACCTTGTCTACGAGTCTCGTAGTAAGAATTCTTCAGTTGAGTGCTCTGAGTACGGGCTCTTGAGCTGGAGTCCCGTAGTAAGGATTATGCATTTCGGTTCTCCTAGTCAACGCTCTTCAGTCATATTCCCGAAGTGAAGCTTCTTAACTAAGGTGTTCTTTGTAAGGGCTCTTGAGTAAGAGTCCCGTAGTAAGTCTTCTGTAGTAAGGTGTTGTTCGTAAGGATTCTTGAATAGTAGTCACGTAGTAAGGAATATGTAATCAGGTTTTCTGAGTAAGGATTCGTATGTATTGCTTCCAAAATTGGAATATTTATTCAGTTTCCTTCAGTGAGGACTCTTGAATACTATTCCCGCAGTAAAGGTTCTTTACTAATGTGCTCTCAGTAAGGACTCTTCGGTACGAGCCCTGTAATAATGGTTCGTCATTCAGGTCTCTTAGTATTCACTTTTGAGTGAGGGTTCCATCGTAAGGATTATGTATTAGGGTTCTCTCAGTTAGAAGGTTTGAGTGAGGCTTCCATACTAAGGATTCTTTATTCGGGTTGTCTGAGTAAAAACTTTTGAATGAGGCTCCTATAGTAGGGATTATTTCCTAGGGTTCTCTAAAGAAGGACTCTTGAGTAATATTACCGTAGTGAGGCTTCTTCATTAATGTTTTCCATGTAAGGAGTCTTGAATAGGAGCCCCTTAGTAAGGATTCTTGACTAAGGTCTCCGAGTTCGGATTATGCAGTTTTTTTTCGTTTGGTAAGAGGTTCTTGACAACAACTCGCTTAGTCCGAATAGTTGAGAAACAGGGTTCCTTAGTAGGGATTCTCAATTATGCGTTTCGAAGATGCCGAGCTTGCGTGGGGGCGACATGGCCTTGGAAGTTTGGGCGCTTGCGGGCGCTTCGGCCTCCTTGATGAGATCTGGCAATCGAATCAATTCCCACTGGAGGCCGGCCCGGACGCCAGTGCGATGCGATGCGGTGTTCCCCCCGCCCCCCCCCTTTCCCCCGAGGGGGCGTCACAAACCTTGCGTGCCTCCCGTGGGGAGCGACGGGGAAGCTCGCCCCAGTGGAGGGGGCTCAGAAAGCCCGCGTTCCCTTGTTGTTGTTGTTGTTGTTGTTGTTGTTGTTGTTGTTGTTGTTGTTGTTCGAACTGTTCTCGGCCTTCTTGCAGCGACCAGGTCGATTCAGGAGGAGGAGGAGGACGAAGAGGTGGAGGAGTACGAGGAAGAGGAGGAGGTGGACAAATGCAGACCCAAAGTGCATCAACGATGTTGCCAGAAATCCTCCCTTCAAGTTACTTATGTGTAGGTGTCCACAAAGATGTATCTTCATTGCGGGAAATGCCACAGGAATATCAACTTCAGATGATGCTCGATCGTGCCAAAATGCAGTTACTTGGACATCACTACCGCGAATCGATATGACTGTTGCGTCCTGGTGGTCCTAGATCGTGCCAGAACATTATCTTTGGGACGTCGACACCGCGAATCAGCGTGGCTGTTGCGTGCTGACGCTCCGAAATCGCATCTATAATATTAGGACTAAGAAATTTGAAAACACTATCAATACTATCAGCATTCATATCAGAAAGCTCTGCGCTATTAGTAATGATGTAGTAATTATATGAATGGTACTATTATGCAATTATTTTTAACCATGTTAGTACCAATAATAGCAACACCACTAATACTAGTAAGGCTAGTAATAATAATACGAGCAATCATATTACTAGTAACACGAATGCGAATAACAATGCGGACAGCAAACATACGAATGATATTGATACTACTACGGATACGACAAAAAAAGAGGAGGAGCTGGAAAAGGAAAGGATGATGAGGAGGAGGCTAGATGAAGGAGCGGGAGAAAAACGGGGGTGCGAACCCCATACGCCCCCGCGGTTCCAGCCGCACAGACGCGCGCGTGCGGCGCGCGAGGCCACGTCAATGAGGACGACGTCGACCAGCACCACCCGCACGGCGACGGCGACGTCGACGACGACGTCGGCGCAGCTCAGCACGACGTCCACGGCCAGCACCACCACGGCCACCGACGCGAGGACTACCCCGCCGCCCAGCCCCTCTGTAGATTCAGGTGGACGAGGCGGACGATCCTCGTGATGAAGATGGGTCGACGAAGAAAACAGTGCATACACATGCACTTTCCAAGGTCTGCGCGGAGCTCATGCAGTCTATGTTTATGCAGCTTGTCATTCTTCTGGACGGGAATGCTGATGATGAGGGCGAGGAGGATGAAGAATCGCATGCGGAGGCGGAAGAGCAGGAGGTCCGGGAGCAGGAGGAGGAGGAGGAGGCGCGCCAGGAGAAACAGGATGAGGATGTGGCTGAGGTTCGGGTGAGGGGGCGGACGAGGAGGAAGAGGAGGAGGACCTGGATCTCTGGATGTGGATAGAAGGCCCTCGTCATCCTGTACGAAATAGCGGGCAGCCAAATCTACAATGACAGTAAGGGCATCGGCAGACAAATTCTCTGTGAAGGATCATGTTCGGCTCAACACATGTATATATATAGGCCTCAGCACCCACCATGAACCTCCCTTTTCTCTTGGTAGATGCCAAGAAAAAAGGGGGGCGGGTGCGGTTGGAATTTCGGGTGTCGCGTCGTGTTGTGGTGGTTGGATGTGGAGTACTTGTGTGTGTGTGTGTGTGTTGGAGACGGAGGGAGCCTGTGGAGTATCGGGTGTTGTGTTGGAGAAGGAGGCTGTTGAGTACTGGGTGTTGTGTTGGAGACGGAGGGAGTGGAATAGAAGGTTATTTTCAAGTTCAGCTTGGGGAGGGAGCCTGTTGAGTATCGGGTGTTGTGTTGGAGAAGGAGGCTGTTGAGTACTGGGTGGTGTGGTGGAGACGAAGGGAGTTGAGTAGAAGGTTATTTTCAAGTTCAGCTTGGGGAGGGAGCCTGTTGAGTATGGGGTGTTGTGTTGGAGAAGGAGGCTGTTGAGTACTGGGTGTTGTGTTGGAGACGGAGGGAGTTGAGTAGAAGGTTATTGTCAAGTTCAGCTTGGAGAGGGAGCCTGTTAAGTATCTGGTGTTGTGTTGGAGAAGGAGGCTGTTGAGTACTGGGTGTTGTGTTAGAGACGGAGGGAGTTGAGTAGAAGGTTATTTTCAAGTTCAGCTTGGGGAGGGAGCCTGTTGAGTATCGGGTGTTGTGTTGGAGAAGGAGGCTGTTGAGTACTGGGTGTTGTGTTAGAGACGGAGGGAGTGGAGTAGAAGGGTATTTTCAAGTTCAGCTTGGGGAGGGAGCCTGTTGAGTATGGGGTGTTGTGTTGGAGAAGGAGGCTGTTGAGTACGGGGTGGTGTGGTGCAGACGGAGGGAGTTGAGTAGAAGTTTATTCTCCTCCGAACTTGAGCCCAAAATGTCTTCCCAAAAAGAGCCTCAAAATTGAGTCCGAAAATCGTAGGAATCATATTTAAATTCATATATAATCATGAGAAAGGGGGGAGGGCTATATATATATACATATACTTATATATGGAGAGAGAGAGGGATGGAGAGAAAGAGAGAGAGAGAGAGAGAGATAGCGAGAAAGAGAGAGAGAGAGAGAGAGAGAGAGAGAGCGAGAGAGAGAAGTAGAGAGAGAGAGAGAGAGAGAGCCTGCATCTGCATTCCAATTAATGGATTCGACACTGAGGCTACGCACGTGGAGAGCCTACACGTCACGCCCATATATGCAACACTGAGGCTAGCAGACAGGACGCGATGCGGAAGAGCTACCACAACTGCACAGTGGACCACACACGCATTCCCCAGAGGCCCGGAGCTCGAGCTCCCAGCCAGAGCCGAGTGCGGTGGCCAGGAGAAGGAACGGGCAGCACGAGGGCGACGCACGAAGACGGCGCAAGTCCTGGGAACAGACGCGACAGGGAGCACACTGCTCGAGAGCGTCGCGCACACATCCACGCACCGGGGTGTGTGCTGGAGCGAAGAGTTCTCGCGCTCACCGTGCGAAGCGCGGCAGACCGAAACGGCAGGTAAACAGCTCCTCCTGGGGAGCCTCCAGCGACCCAGGCTCACGGCCTCGAAGGCTCACGGGGGGGGGGGGGCGGCCCGTGGGCCGCTTGGCACGCGTGCAGAGCCCGCCTGCACATACGCACGTCCAGCAGTCGACCGCCGACTGAACTCGCACTGTGTGCCGTCTGTCAGGCGATGGGCACTCCCACGTTGAGTCACGGCCTCGAAGGCTCACTGGGGGGGGGCGGCCCGTGGGCCGCTTGGCACGCGTGCAGAGCCCGCCTGCACACACGCACGCCCAGCAGTCGAACGCCGACTGAACTCGCACTGTGTGCCGTACGTCAGGCGATGGGCAGTCAACGTGACGGTAGAATACCGGTCGTAGCAGATCTGCAGTTCCTTCTGTTTGACCTGCTCGTCGGGCGCCTCCGGCCTCTCCGCGCCGTTGAGCTGCCTCATCTTGCTCCTGTACGGTCTTCTTCAAGTACCCGACGCCACGGCCTTCATCCCCATCTAGGGGGTACATAGGCCAGTGGGGCCCAGGCCACGCCGCTGGGGACGGGGATCGTTTAAGCGATGCTCACGTGAGAACGGCCCCAAGGAAAAGCGCGGTGCCCCCGTGCCCCCGCCGTCCAGCAGGCGCACGATGACTCCCTCCCCCAGAGCGACAAGCGGCCCCCCCCCCCCCTCAGCCCGCCCGCCGACGGGCACACACAGGCCTTCGCCCGCACGGAGCCCGAAGAGCACGTGGCCGCCAGCACGCCCAGGGCCTCGCCGACCCGGGGAGCCAGCAGGCAGGAACGCTGCCCTGAGGGTGGAGGGCCCTAAATTCCCAAGCACCTCGTTGTGCTTCTGCCCACCCCACCGCGCATCACCGTCGCCGTCTACGAGAGACAGGGCATCTCTGAGATGCTTGAGCATGTTGCCCGAGTGGGTCGCCTGGGCAGCTTTTGCTGCTGCCCTTCCCCTCTTTTGGGGATTCGCGCTTCAACGATAAACCCTCCCCTGATCCTCAACGAATACAACACCCTAAACCCAAAGACCTTTTCCTCGAAGTGACGCCTGGGTGCGCCTGGGAGCGCCTGGGAGCGCCTGGGAGCGCCTGGGAGCGCTTGGGAGCGCCTGGAAGGCCTGGGAGCGCCTTGGAGCGCCTGGGAGCGCCTGGGAGCGCCTGGGAGCGCCTGAGAGCGCTTGGGAGCGCCTGGGAACGCCTGGGAGCGTGCCGGGAGCGCATGGGAGCGCTTGGGAGCGCTTGGGAGCGCCTGGAAGCGCCTGGAAGCGCCTGGGAGCGCCTGGGACCGCGCCTGGAGCGCCTGGGAGCGCCTGGGAGCGCCTGGGATCGCCAGGGAGCTCGTGGGAGCGCTTAGGAGCGCTTCGGAACGCCTGGGAGCGCCGAGGAGCGCCTGGGAGCGCCTGGGAGCGCCTGGGAGCGCCTGGGAGCGCCTGGGAGCGCCTGGGAGCGCCAGGGAGCGCATGGGAGCGCTTGGAACGCATTTGGGAATTTAGGGGCCAACGGCCCTAAACCCTAAAAGGCTTTAGTTTGGGAGGTTGCCGGCCATGCGGCCGGGGGTGGGAAGATGTTGCACCTCCTGCCCCCTTCGCCAAGCTTGCTCGGGTCGGCTAACCGCCCCCCCAATCAAGCTTGCCGAAGGGGGGGCAGCATTGCCTGGACTGTCGGCCGCCGCGCTAAGAGAAGCCCTAAACCCGAAACCCTAAGCCCTAAGCCCTACCCCTTAAATTTCTAATCCTATAATTATTAAACCCTAATTGCCATAAAACCGGTCACCATGCAACCCGGCTTCATCTACTACAAAAAATAAAATTCCTGAGCATGCGTGCGTAATCTGTTGTATTTTACACTACAAAGTGCCCGGCCCCCGTTGCGACCCGAGTCCATCTACTGCAGAAAATAGCATTTCCTGAGCATGCGTGCATAATCTCTTGTAATTTACATTGCAAAGTGCCCGGCCCCCGTTGCGACCCCGTTATGTAAACCGGCTCCATCTGTTGTAAAAAATAACATTTCCTGAGCATGCGCGCGGAATCTCGTGTATTTTACATTACAAAGTGCCCAGCCCCCGTTGCGACCCGGCCCCATCTATTGCAAAACGTAGCATTTCCTGAGCATGCGCGCAGAATCTCTTGTATTTTACAATGCAAAGTCCGACTCCGTTATGTAAGCCGGCACCATCTATTGCAAAAAATAGAATTTGCTGCGCATGCGTGCAGAATCTCTTGTATTTTACATTAAAAAGTGCCCAGGCTCCGTTGCGACCCGATCCATCTATTCCACAACGTCGCCTTTGCTGCGCATGCGTGCAGAATCTCCCCCCCCCCACCCGACTCTTCCCGCCCGTTCGAGCACTCGCGTGCCAACTGGACCGCACATCACTCGTCGCCGTCGTCGTCGTCGTCGTCGACGTTGTAGTCGATGTGGTTGTCACGAGGGGAGAGATGATCTTTATGGTGGGGTGGCTTGCGGGTGGGAGTGACGGCCACCGCAGGTGGGTTCGCGGTCCAGGTGTACTCCTGGCCACGCCTAGTAGACCCTAAACCCTAACCGCCCGTTACAGCACTCGCGTTCCAACTGGATCGCACATCCGTCGTCGCCGTCGTCGTCGTCGTCGTCGTCATCGTCGTCGTCGACGCTGTATCCGATGCGGTTCTCACGAGGGGAGAGATGATCTTTATGGTGGGGTGGCGTGCGGGTGGGACTGACGGCCACCGCAGGTGGGTTCGCGGTCACGTTGTACTCGTGGCCACGCCCAGTAGACCCTAAACCCTAAACCCTAAACCCAAACCCTCTTTTTATTTGCGCGCCATGCAGTGCCGTGAGCACCGCGGGAGCAGGGGGCGGTGCGAAGTCGTGCCACCACTCCCGTTGCAGCGGCACCTCCCATGATGCCGCCTTTCCAGCCGGTGAATGGCTGAGGTCAGTCACTCTTGCAGGCCATGTGAAGTGCCCCCCCACTCCGCTCGGCCTCACAGCGACCCACGAAATTGGCGACGGGTGCACAGGTGGCAGCCCCGCTGGGAGCCGCGAGTCTAGTCAGGGTGTGCGTGTCCGCCCACTCCGCTCGGCCTCGCAGCGGCCCACGAAATTGGCGACGGGTGCACAGGTGGCAGCCCCGCTGGGAGCTGCAAGGTCCAGTCAGGGTGTGCGTGTCCCCCCATTCCGCTCGGCCTCACAGCAACCCACGAACTTGGCGACGGGTGCACAGGTGGCAGCCCCGCTGGGAGCCGCGAGGTCTAGTCTGGGCGTGCGTGTCCCCCCATTCCGCTCGGCCTCACAGCAACCCGCGAACTTGGCGACGGGTGCACAGGTGGCAGCCCCGCTGGGAGCTGCGAGGTCTAGTCTGGGCGTGCGTGTCCCCCTATTCCTCTCGGCCTTACAGTAACCCGCGAGCTTGGCGACGGTTGCACAGGTGGCAGCCCCGCTGGGAGCCGCGAGTCTAGTCTGGGTGTTCGTGTCCCCCCATTCCGCTCGGCCTCACAGTAGCCCGCGAACTTGGCGAGGGGTGCACAGGTGGCAGCCCCGCTGGGAGCTGCGATGTCTGGTCTGGGTGTGCGTGTCCGCCCATTCCGCTCGGCCTCACAGCAGCCCACGAACTTGGCGACGGGTGCACAGGTGGCAACCCCGCTGGGAGCCGCGAGGTCTAGTCTGGGTGTGCGCGTCCCCCCCATCAGCTGGGCCTCGCACGAGCCCGCGGCAGTAGCGACAGTTGCACAGGTGGCAGCCCCCAAAGGGATTGTGAGGTAGGGAGCAGGCAGGAGGTAGGACGCAGGAAGAGGGGGAGGAGGTAGGAGAAAGCAGTGCTCTTCTCGAAACGAGAACACAACGCAGGAGGGTTGGGAAATACGGTAGGCGGAAGCAATTCAGGAACACCCCCCTTTCCCCCGAAATTCAGAGTTGGTGCGTCGGGGGACGACTGTGGAGGAGTTGAAATCACATTCCCCACGAACATTCGAAAAACAAAACGGCATACATTTTTTTTTTGAGTTCCGCGTGGATTTCTTAGATCGGCTCTGAAGTCCCCTCCCTGGCGCGCGGAGCGCGCCAGGGGCGGCGCCAGAGGCGCCTCCAGGTGTGCCCAGCGCCGATCCAAGAAATCCGCTCGGAGCTCCAACTGTTTATGTTCATTTTGTTTTTCTCGTCCTTCAAAAATGGATATCACGAGGGATCATGGGGGCAAGCTGATATTGCATGAGTGTTCGCCATGTGCTTCCCACGCCTGCGTCATTCATGGAAGCGCAAACATGGACCAAGGGGCGCGGATCAGCGACGCGTCCCGTTTCCATGCGAAGTCGGCGCAGTTTCGTCGCCGAATGAGGCGGCGCTGGCCCTCTGTGTCGGGGGGCACCCTCCCCGATCCATGGATCTGGCCCTCGCGCGCCAGATCCACGGATCACCAATCTATGTTGGCGTGCGTCCACGGTCCGCCCCTGCTGCTCATGACGGCGGTCCTCTGCCTCTGAGTGCTCGCCCTCCCCTCCTTGTCCGCGGCCGCCCGCCCCTTCCTCGTCCCTCCCTCCTGCATGGCGGCCACTTCGCTCTCTAGTGCCCCTGCGTCGCTGCCACGCCGGGGCGGATCGCCCCGCCTCGCCGCCGACGGACAAAGTCAGCGTGCGCCCGAATCCTGTCCTGGAGGCCATTTCTTTCTTGCTTGGGGCATGACGGGCGTCATGGCCCCCGCTCCCCCCCCCCTATGACGTAACGCTCCTCCCCCCCCCCCCCCAGTGCGCTCCGGGCACTGCCGCCGTGCGCATTGGGATCCGCGTAGGTGTCCGCGTAGGTCCGGGCCCGCCCCCCTCGTGCTCCATGCCTCGACCCCCCCCGCGCCCCTTCCTCCCCCCCGGCGGGGGGCGCCTCCGCGGCGCGCGAGGACGGCCGGCGCGGCGCCGCGGGGCGCGGCCGCCGAGCCCGCGGGGCCCGCCGCGCCGGCCGCGCCGGCCGAGAAGAGCTCCTGGCGCTGGGAGGGCTGGGGGTTCGGGTTCGATCGTTCGAGTTCGAGGTTCGGGGGTTCGGGTTCGGGTTCGAGGAGCGGGGGTTCGGGGGTCCGAGGTCGATCGTTCGAGGGTCGAGGGTCGAGCTCGCGTTCGAGGTCGCCGGCTGGGGGCCGTCGGGTTCGAGGTTCGAGGTTCGAGGTTCGAGGTTTCGATCGTTCGAGGGTCGAGGGTCGAGGATCGAGGAGCGAGGTTCGAGGGTTGAGGATCGAGGGTCGAAGATCGAGCATTCGAGGATCGAGCGCTCGAGAATCTAGCGCTCGAGGGTCGCGGTTCGAGGGGCGAGGGTGGAGGTTTGAGGGTCGAGCCCTTCTCTGGGGGAGGTTCGAGGTTCGAGGTTTTCGAACGTTTTCGAGCGTTTTCGTCGGTTCTCGGCGGTCTTCCAACTTCGGGATGCGTCCCAGCGGCCTGCGCCTCGCCAGGGGCGCTCCGGGGGAGCCTGGGATCGTCCCGAGCGGCCGCTGGAGCGCCGAGCCACGGCCCGAAGTCGAGGGGCAGCGGCAGGGGGGTGCTGGGCTCTCCGCGGGGGATGCCTCGACCACCAATCGTCCATTCCTCGCCGACGGGTGCCCGAGAGCCCCACCCTGCCCAGGGCCGCGTGGCCTCGCCATCGGGGGCCCGTTCGCCTGCCGATCTGCCGGCGATGTGCCCCCGATGCCAGCGCGATGTTTTCCCCCCGAGCTGGCCCCCCCCATCGTTGACCCTCAGGGGGGGTCGAGGGCAGCGGTCGATCGGGTCGAAGCTGAGGGCTCGAGGGCACTTTCGTCGGTCCTCGGCGGTTCTCCAGCCTCGGGGATGCGTTCCAGCAGCTGCGGCTCGCCGAGAGCGCTCCGGGGTGTCTGGATCGTCTGGAACGGGCGCCTGGGAGTCGATTGATGACCCGAAAGCCAGGCGCAGTGACAGGGGGAATTGGCCCAGGGTGGGAAACATCGGCTCCCAATCGCTTGTCCATCGCCAGTCGGTCCCCTGAGTGCCCCACCCATCCCAGGACCGTTCGGTTTCGCTATCGAGGGCTTATTGCCGATCTATCGGCGGCGTATCGCCGATTCCGCGTCAATGTTGTTCCCTTCCTGAGTTAGTCCCCCCTATCGTTTCCTCTCAGGGGGGGTGATTGGCATGAGGAGACTCCCTCGTCTCCCTCTTCCCTCCTCGTCCTCCTCCTCGACTCCCTCCCAGCCAGCCGCGGCGTTCTTCCACTCCTGGATGCCCATCCTTGTGTGCCAGGTTGTGATCGTGCTGTGGGTCATGCCGGCGCGGATGGGCTTGTTATGTCCATCACCCATCGTTTGCATTCCAGTGTTCGCCGTCTCGTTCACTGTGCTTTGGACTACGCTCGACTGCAATGAGCACTTCCATCTGCCGCCCGCGCTTGAGGACCCTCTGCACCGCTGACTGAAACGGGCTGCCTCATGATGTTGTTCCCGCGCAGCCCGTCCGAGGCTGCATACTGTGCCCGAACTGATACAGTCGGAAACTTTGCTCAGCGTGTCGCCACAGGGGCCCCGGCGACACGCTACGCCTTGCGAGCGGATAGCGTGTCGCTCCGCTCTGCGGGGCGGGAGGCTCGGAATGGCCCGGGACGTTGACGCCCAGGCACCGAGAAGTGGATCGTGTGTCGCGCCGAAGCGTGGTGGGCCAGACCCGGCGCGGAGCGACGTGCTATGCAGCAGTTCTCGACCGCGAGCGCAGGAGAGTGCAACGCGGCACCCCGAGCGAGCGAGCCTCGAGGACCGTCATAGTCTGGGCACTTCCACCGCCCCTGGCCTGGCCAGGAGCGGTGGATGCGCGGAGGACCCCCAGAAGAGGACGAGGAGGAGGAGGGAGGAGGAGGAGGAGGAGGGAGGAGGAGGAGGAGGAGGAGGAGGAGGAGGAGGATGAGGAGGAGGAGGAGAGGAGGAGGGAGGAGGAGGAGGAGGAGGAGGAGGAGGGGAGGAGGAGGAGGAGGAGGGAGCGAGCGAGCTGGCGGGCCGGCCGGCCGGCCAGTCTTCTGGGGAGGGGGCAGGCCGCCCCCGGAGTTCGCGTGGAGCTGCGCGTCCTACGGCTGCGTCGGGTACAATCCCCTGGCGGTGTGCCAGTGCAACCCGGGCTGCCGCGAGCATGGCACCTGCTGCTACGACTTCGAGCGGAGCTGCGGGCTGCAGGAGGGCAGGGGAGCCCAACGGCCGCACGAGCGCGCCCGCGGCTGCCTCCTCCTCCAGCGCCTGCTCCCCTCTGGGCACCCTGCTCCGGCGCGCGAAGCGTGCTGGGGGCAGCGATGGTCGGGGGCCCCCAGACGGTGTGGTAGCCACACCGCGTGGTGAGTCAGTGTCGGGCGACGACGTCTATACCTGTCCACTGCTCCCTGGCCAGGCCCATCTTGCACCTGTGAGCTGTGTGTATACGCCCTGCTGGGTGAGCCAGGAGGCCGTGGCGTATACACCGCTGCGGGGTTCAGGGTGGGCCTGGCCAGGGAGCAGTGGGTATGTGTAGCTTTCGTCGCCCTACAGTGGGGATTCGGGGTCATCGCACAGTTTTGGGGCTCGGGTCGTTCTCTGGGGACGTCTCGCGCGACCGGTGCCGTGCGGCGACAGGCCGCGCGGTGAGGTCGCTGGGGATTTCTCCGAGGTCACCACGGCGGTCCGTCACCGCACGCTTTTTCGGGGCCCCGAAGATGGGGGGCCCGCGCGCCAGGGAAGGGGGGGCCCAGCGCCGGTCCAAGACATCGAGGCGGAGCTCCGACAGCTTCTTCGACTACACATGAGAGTGACCTTTCGCCGGGGTGACCTCTCTGGTGCGGGCCCAGTGGGGTCCCCCGATCGCCGAGCGCGAGGCGGTATTGGCGACTTGCGCGCTCGTGTTCGGTCCCCCCGCGGCCCCCAATGAGCCGCGCACCCAAGGTCACTCTTATCTAGGCCTCCTAGATGGGGTCGGAGTAGATGGGGTCGGAGGATCGCGCGCCGTATCGCCGATGTATCGGCGATGCGGCTCGATGTGGGGCACGATTTTCACCACGCCGACGTCTCGGATGTATCGTCGACGTCGACCATGCATCGCCAGTGCATCGCCGATGCGTCGCCGATGCATCGTCGATGCATCGGCGATGTATCGGCGATGCGGCGCGATCCTCCGACCCCATCTACCCCGACCCCATCTAGGAGGCCTCTATCTTACAGGGTCGCTCTTGCGTGCAGTCGACTTTCTGCCGCATGCCTGTATGCCGCTCTCTCTGCCTCGGTTCCCGAGGGCGCGCCCCTTAGGTTGCCGTCGCCCTGGGCCCGTCGCTCCTGGGGTTTTCGACGACGACCATTGAGCGGATTTTCGACGACAGATCAGACATAGTTAAGAAGTATTCAAACATAGTCAAAGACAGTATTCAAACATAGTCAAAGACAGTGAAAAAAGACATATTCAAACATAGTCAAAGACAGTCAAAGAAGTATTCAAACATGGTCAAAGACTATTTTTCGACTATTTCTGAATCTTCCCTCCTGTAGAGGGACGTGCCCGACTGAGGCTCCAGGGCAAGCCGAGGCCGGCCGTGCCGGGGGAGCTGCCCGCCGGCGCCCGAAGGCCCCGGTGCTGCTGTGCCCGTTCCTTGCAGAAGGGGGAGAGACACACACACACACACAAAGGCACAAAGAATCGCTGCTAGGTGTACAAAAAGTGACACAACTCCCAGGCTTCCCCACATATCTCCCCATCACTTCTCGAGGTCAGCGTCCCTCCCACCATTTCCCATGTTTCCCCAGATTCTCTGGGGAATCAGCTAGGAGAACAAAAAGTGGCATGAATATAACAACTCGGAGGTCCGCGCGGACTTCTCGGTTCGGCGCTGGACCCCCCTCCCTGGCGCGCGGAGCGCGCCAGGGGCGGCGCCGGAGGCGCCGCCGGGGGGCCCCAGCGCCGATCCAAGAAATCCGCGCGGACCTCCGAGTTTTTTATGTTCGTGCCACTTTTTGTTCCCCCAGGTGATTTCCCAGAGAATCTGGGGAAACATGGGAAATGGTGTGAGGGAGGCTGACCTCGAGAAGTTATGGGGGGATATGTGGGGAAGCCTGGGAGTTGTGTCTGCTCGCTCGTGTGTCCTTGGGGCCCCTTCGCCTACTGGGCTCCTCAGGAGCGGGTCCTGGCCCTCGCCGAGGGCCAGCCCGTGCAGACCACGCGGCTGCCGCCCGAGCTGGACGACTCCCTCTGCGGCGACTGCATCGGCGACACCGCCCCGACCAACGAGGACGCGGTCACCGTCTATGCGGCCTCCTGCGGCTCGCCGAGGAACAGGTGCTGGTCGGTAGCGCATCATGGGAGCCTGGTGTACCCTCTTAGCTTTATCTCCAGCGCCGATTCGCGTCTGGGAGTCCACGAGATAGCCCCGATTTAGCGTCGGTCAGCGTCGATTCGCGTCGATTCAGCGTCGATCTGGCGTCGACTTAATGCCGACTCGCGTCGATTCGCAAGAGCCGACAAGCTGGTATGGAAGGCTCCCATGAGCTGCCACCGAAGGTGCTGCGGGGCCTGCGGGATGTGGAACAACATGGACCACAGGATTCCCGGGTGCCAGGTCGTGCACGGCTACCTGGTGGTCCCGAGCGACCCGCTTGTGGGCATGGAGGCGATCACTGGGGGCACCGCCCCCCACTACGACTTCCTGTGGAGAGAGGCGGCCGACCGCGCGGGCAGGGCGGAGGGCTACGTGCTGCTGGTGAACCCGTCCATTTGAAGAGGAAACAACTGCATGGGCATGCGCTTTTGGAGCTCCGCGCGACTTTCTCAGATCGGCGCTCGGTCCCCCCCCCCCCCCCTCGGCGCTTCCGGCGCCGCGCCTGGCGCGTTCTGCGCACCAGGGCCGGGGGTGCAGCGCCGATCGAAGAACTCCGCGAGGAGCCCCCAAAATATGTGTGTTGTTACGCAGTTTTTCCTTCTTCAATCCATGTCGCGGACCCAGCACCAGATGCACGTCTTCTTCAAGTGGCTGAACCAGCCAGGCCTCCAGATGAGGGACCAGCTCGTGGAGCTGACAAGCTGCGACAGCAGCTCGGCCGACTGGCAGGACGCGCACGCGCTCGGGCTGTGCACCTTCGCCAGGGCACGGGTCTTCGACGAGCTCCCCGCGGTGTTTAGCGAGGTGCGGAAAAGAACAACAACCTAAGCATACATTTTCGGATCTCCGAAAAATTATGCTTATGCGCGTTTTGTTCTTCTGGAGGTGTGGGCGGAGGCCATGCGGAAGACGCTCGGGCCCCTCTTAAAGAACCCGAACGGCGTCAACACTCTTAGCACCGTTGGCATCACCGTCGTGTTCGCCTGCGGCGGGAAGGCGATCGTGCTCGCGACCTCGAGCGGGGGCGGGTACTGCAGCCTCGAGCACAGCATAACGTGACGCGGCGCCCGAGGGTCGCTGGCCTGTGGCGTGCATCCCTGGCCAGCGGTCTTGGGCCCGGAGGCATCTGGGCCTTGTCTCACCACGCAGCTCCCTCCCTGTCCCCTGTCTGCCTCTGCCTCTGCAACTACCCTACCCTCAGCCCGTGGATTATCTCGCGAGCTAACTCGCCCCTGCCTGGGGACCCCCCCGCCGCGCCCGGGGCGGCACGATCCACCCCGGCCCGTGAATCCATTATCGAGTCAATTCGAGTCTTGCGCTGGGGGGCGGCCACGGCCGCGGGTCAGCTCCCGATTAAACTCGGGCGGGAGCCTATGCCAGGTCCAGCTCGCAAGTGATGAGCTCGCGAGCCGATCTTCGCAAGCTGGAGCTGGTACTGAGCTCCAGTGGATTGGGTCGCGAGTAAAATCATGTTTGTTGTGGGTTCCATCACCCGCGCCGTGACGAATCTGCTCCCGAGTTCGTCTTCTTTTTCTTCTTCCCCACCCTCCCTCCACATCCCTGACGCTCGCACCCCGTATCCACACGCCCCGTGTGCGCATCAGGGCTGGACCTAAACGCTGTTTCGCTGGACTTCGGCTGTATTGTGCTTTTCGTTTTAGCATGGAGGTGCAGGAAAACAGGTAGAGCAACACGAAAAGCAAAAACGAAAAGAAAACGAACAACAACATTTAGGTCCAGCCCTGGTGCGCATGCCTGCCCTGCCCCCGCCCCCCCGCCCCTGACACCCGCCCCACGGATCCTTGTTTCGGCCAAGCGGCCCCCACCCACAGCTCGTCCCACGGCTCCTTCCCAGCCGCGCGTGGCCGCACCAGGAGCGCAGCCAGCAGCTGTCTTGCCTTCGTCGCTCTTCTGATTTATGATTCTTGTTATTGTTGTTATTATTATTATTACTATTATTATTATTAGTATTATTATTATCATTATTATTATTGTTATTATGAGTATCATTGTCATTGTTATTGGTATTAGTGATATTGTTATTTTAAGTCGCACTATGTTCATTATTATTGCTATTGTTCGTTTTTTTTTTAATTTTTTATTAGTAGTACTCTGATTACGCGGATTAGTACGACTATTACTAGTATTCTAATTATGCGGATTATAGCATTATTATTATCACTATTATTATTCGTACTACTACTATTATTATTATTAGGATTACCATTATTATTATTATCTTTTTGATTATCATTGTGATTATCATTTTAATGCTTACCATTCGTATTATCGTTATTGCTATCATCATTATTGGTATCATTGTTTTACTTGTTTTATTGTTAATCGCATTTATGTCCTATCATTATTACTATTTTTAATTATTCGTATTGTTATTTATTTATCATATAGTTGAATTATCATGTTTGCTTGGGCCTCCTGAAAGCAGGAGATGTGACCAGCGACCTTTTCCAGTCGGCCGAAAGAGACAAGGGTCACCGGCGGACCGGTGCCCTTCTGCAGTCGGCTCGGAGAGTAAAAAGAGCACCGGGCTGATTATTGATGCAGAGTCGTCTTCTTTGCGCGAATCCACTGATCACTGCACGGATTTGGCCGGTGACCTTCCCTAAACGGCCGAAAGGAGAAAAAGGTCACCGGCGGACTGGTGCCCTTTCGTAGTCGGCTCGGAAGGTAAAAAGGGCACGGGGCAGACTTTGCAGCATTGTCGTGATTGCCAGAGCCTCCTGATCAGGTGACTCTTGGCTCAAATTCCTTCTTCTGGCAACTTGGCTTCCGAGGCTGGCCGCGGATGCAAGCCGCCTTCGGCTGGGTCACCGGCGCCCTGGCGGAGCGGCTGGGGCGGGGGCGGAGATTACCACACCACCTGCCACTGCGAGTTCTCCGGGCCCGAGCCTGGCAGCGGGGTGCTCGAGATCCTCCGCGAGCAGCTCGGGCGGTGCGGGCCTGAGCACTTGCAGGTGGTGCCCCGCCCGACGTGTCCGGTCTGCCCCATCGTGCCCAGAGGGGACGTCCCCTTTCCTCCTCGCGAGCCTCGCTGGCGTCGTGGGGTTCGTGCTGGAGGTGCTGCTGACGCTGGGCTGGTCGGTGTGCGCCTCCAGGAGGCCGGTACTGGCCGACGAGAAGCTGGCGAGCGAACGGCGGGTCAAGGTCCCGTCTCACTTTCGGGCGCGGCGAGCTCTTACGCTCCAGGGGCGCGGCCGGGTAAGAGATGGCTGTGAGACCTGGTGATGTGGTGCTGCCCCGTGAAGACGAGGACCGCATACAAGGCAACGAGAATGTGGTGTGCTCGCCAGATTACGACATATCTGTGGAGCAGCTGGACGCCCAGAACCCAGACCTCACAGGCATCCGATTCCTGGCGGCGCCGGGCGCGGCCGTCATGGGGGTCGTACGGGTATGAGCGTTCAACCCCCGGCCGGCCCCCTCCCAGCAGCAGTAGCTGCTCGCTGAAGGGCAACAGGTCGGGGCGGCCGAGCTCACGGCACGAGGGCTTCCAGCCGTGGCGGCGCGCCTACAGCGGGAGGCGCCGGTGCCGCGCCCGCGGCCATCTTGCCGCCAGGCGGCGCGGCAGCTGCTGCCATCGTGCCGGCGTTCGGAGCGGCCCCGCCTTTGGTCGCCCCCGCGGCCGCGGCTGGTGCTGCAGAGGCGGCGCCGCGGGCGGCCGCCGTGGCGGCTCCCGCCGTGCGCAGGATCGCTTGTGCTGGGGGTGCATGGGTGCTGGACGAGCCCGTCGCTGGCTTCAGCGTCAGTTTCGAAGTGCAGGCGCCCGCCGAGCTGCGCGTCGTTGATTTCTGGGCCGTCCGGGGGTTCGACGGGCGGACGCGCGCCTTCCGGCTGCTGGCGGCGGGGACCGACATCGATCGGTATTCGATGCAGCGGCAGGCCGAGCTGGCCATCGACGGGCGCACCGTCTCTGTCGACCCATCGGGGAGGCCCCGCGCCTTCGCGGAGTGCGCCTCCGAGATGATCGAGGACCACAACGTGAGGTATTCGCTGTCCGGGCCGCGCACTAGCGGCGACCTCGTTGAGAGGATGGCGCGCGGGGGCGGGGGGGGCCTCGTGCATGAGCACGACAAGTGGGTCGCGGAGTCAGGCGCCAAGCCTCGCGGCCGCTCGGTGTACGGGCGTCGGGTCCTCTCGAAGGCGCCGCGCATCGGCGCCGCGCATCGGCGCGACCGAGGACGGGCAACCTAGAGAGCCTGGGCATGGCGGAGCCGCTCTTCAGGGGGAAGCAGCTCATCGAAGAGGTGCACGCGGAGAACCCGCAGAGCCCGAGCTGGGGTGGTTGGGGGTACTACCTCGGCATCGAGGAGCGCAAGGGCGGCGCTGGCATGGCCCCGCCACCGCGGCAGCACGTGGCTAGCGAGATGGGCAAGCAGGCCGCCATCGGCATGGAAAAACGCAAAGCACGAGAAGCGAAGAACGGACGATACCGCCAATAAGTCATGAAGAGAAGACGCGGGGTTGTGGTTGATATTGTCCGTGGCGGACCCCAGCCCACTACTGATGGCCGCTGGGCCGGTTTACACACCCGCGGGACTTTCGCTCGCCCTCGCCGAGACCCGAGCAAGACCCACCATCCTCGTCCAGGCGATCTTTTTCCCGAGCCTCCAGTCCCATTTGCTGCTCCAACCGGGCCGCCTGGGCGGTCGCGCGTTGCAGCTCGGCGCGCTGGGCGCCGCGCAGCTGTTTGGAGGGTCTCCAGCGCGGCCGCGTTGGCGTTGAACGCCTTGCGCGGCTGCGAGGCGACACCTGGTATCGCCATCAACGATGCGCAGGCGGCGGCTCACAGGCAGATCCTTCGGGCGATCTCCTCGGCTACATCTTCGATGCTTGTGCCTGCGCCCTAGGAAGCTTCGCGAGGGCTTCTCGGGCGTCGACCTGACTTACTATCATGGTGGCGGCAGTGCAGCGGTGCCGTGCGATGGCTCGCTGCCCGACGGCTCGTCGCCTCCGGTGCCGCTTGCGGACGCCCTCCCACCTCGGCTCAGCGAGGTGGTCCGCAATTTCGAGGAATTGATGTTCTCGGACGGGCCAGAGGGCGACGCGAAGGCCGAGCAGGCCCGGGTTGCCCCCCGCGTCGACGAGAGGCTCCGGGCCGACCTTTCCTTCTACATCTCCTTTCTTGCCTGGGTGGCTGCCGCGGGATTGATGGGGGTCTCGCGCGGCGAGACGAGCAGCTGCCGCCCCTTCTTCGTCGAGAAAGGGAAACGCAGCGTCTGGTGCTCGACTGCCGCCAGACCAACCTCAACTTCAGGAGGTGCCCCGAAATTGAAATCGGGGCCGCTGAGAAACTCGTTCAGCTGGAGATTCCAGAGGGCGAGACGTTGTACATGGCGCAGGCCGACGTGATGAATTGCTTTTACCAGTGCGGCTTCAGCCCAGAGCTGTCGGTCTACTTCGCGATGCAGCGCAAGTCGAGGTTCGAGGCCGCCTCGGTCGGGTTCGAGGTCGACATCTGGGGCGGCAACCTCGACTGCGCTGACTGGGTGTTCCCCGTGCTGGCGTTTGCCCCCGCGGGCTGGACTTGGGCTGCCTGGCTGGTCCAGCAGGTCTACGTTGGCATTCCCTTGCGGGTTGGTGTCGCAGCCGAGCAAACGGTGGTGGGCACCTGGCCCGTGCCTCCCCTGGGCACCG